CATAGTAAAAAATTTCAACCTCTTTTATGTAATATTATTGAGATTAATATCAGTTATATTAAAAGTGCTGCAATATCACACACTTCAGTATCAATTTCGTTTGCTCCAAGGAAAGTGCCTTCTATATGAAGGGTCTTCTACAGCACCAGTTTCTGTTTTCACAGTCAACCCTACTGTTTGTGTATATGTGATGGTAGGCTAAATAAAGGAGGCAATTCACAATAAATTGCGATCCAAAAGGCATTATGTCACAATCAACTTCTCCAGGGTTGCTCGCGATAGACGCCGTCGTAAAGTCTGGATAATGAAACAGCGAAAAGGCGCAATATTTCCAAGGTCTGCTTTAAAGTGGAAGTACTATCGGTGCTGCTTTGAAACTAGGCAGTAAATCACCTAAGGATTCACAATTGGCTGACTTTTCTATCGGATACATTTAAGGGAGTGTGCCCAGGAACTTTTTAATTTAGTTCCATCCTCACCGTTCTTCCTTCGGTCTAGAACTAGAAGTTCGGACTAGAAGGTCCGGAACACTCCATCCTTATGTCGTTGATATACTACTTATTCGCACAAAATAAATAACGCTTTGCTTCCTCCTTTCTGATGCGTACGGCAAAGGAGTGGGATACTCTACCCACATCTGTGTTTCCCGAAAAGTACCATTTGGGCCTATTCAAGGCTAGAGTGAATAGGCACTTTTTTAGGCAAACGTGTCCCATCGTCGCTTAACATGAGGTGAGATTATGGCCAAGCGCGTGTCTACTACATATTTAAAAAACACAACACTACTATTGACGGGTTTTTATTATTATTACAATTCGGGGTAAAGAACAACAGAATTAAAGAACTGAATATTCTGGCTTCGATTGTCTTACCTTCCACCGTTGCCGTATGTACCCACCCAGAAATGCTTTTTCCATTGTCGGGCAGCACTGACTAAAGAGCAAATGTGTCTAATTCGTCATATGGCATAACAGAGAAACGTCCTTGGTCTCAGCTTGTGATGTTACCCAACGGATACGGAGGATCGTTAAGTCCTGATAGAATGAATAATTATAGTCTCTCGATGACATTACGCGTTCATGTTTTGTGTTTTCCCAAACTCTCCAACACTGAACTCCAGTTGTTTATCTAGGTCAAGTACTTTGGGGAAACAACGCAAAGGTAAACACAAATAATAAGTTTCAGAAAAAGCTAACCAAGGTGAATTGGCTTGTAGCAATGCCACAGGATTTTTGTCAATGAATAGGGTTTGTCTCCCATAAAGGCATGTGTGATTTTTAGACAGTTGCACTAGAAACGACACTTGGTCTGGTGTTCAAAGCTAACAATGCATACCTCAAAAGTACAATGTTCGTACAGTACAGTAGTTGTAGTGTGTACAGAGGCTCACATGCATGGCTATAACTGGCTGCATAGTGACAGCATCCATAGAGACCATGTTCGACCAAGAGTAAGCGAGAGCTCAACGCAATAGGCCTTCAGAAAGCATGTTCAAATGCAGTTCTGAGGAGGTGTCAATGTTTGACGATATTCCTGATAGGAATTTAAAAAACAATTATTCCTAGGGTACTTTGAGCGCCTTAACCATCAGGAGCTCAAGGTTTTCACATACACCTTCAAGACTAAAACAGGCATTGGCTATGGAAATTTCTTGAAGCACCTAAATGAATATACATATATATAACACCCTTGCACAACCACAACAATATAAGGGATTACCAATAACTGGTAAGGATATACAAAAACAGCATCACACTGTAGTGGATCATATGCCTATGCAATATATGCGGCAAACAAATGGCAGGATGGGGATACAAAAGGACAGTGTTGTGACTCAACAACTATGAGACAAATCTTGAAACTGAATGGTTATAGATAGGCTGTACTCCAAATCAATCAACATTGGCCCAAGTCCTCTAGCTAAGTGTAAAAGTTAATTCCAATTATTAATGATGCCCTTCCCAGACATGGTGTTTTCAACAAGTACTTCTACATTGTAGCTGCTAGACATTCACCTGTGCAGAACCTGGAAGGAGACAGGAGCTGACGTGTTTCTGGATCACCTATCATGGATCAGTATGATCCCGTTGCGGATTATTATTATAAATTATTATAAATAAATATTGGCACGGTCAGGTGATGGCTGGACTTCCAGGAGGAACTGAGATGCAGTAATCCTACAATTCTTTACAAGCAATGTACTGTATTGCAGAAACAATGTCAATCACACATTCATACATACACACATCAAAAAAAGTTTGCGATCACTTCGAAAAACTGAAATCTTTTTTGTTACTGTAGATTATATTATGATTTTTTCTTCTTTTTAGATTCTTTATTTAAAAATAAATTAGAACATAAAACAATGACCCCGTTCAATTGTTTTTTCATATAAAAAAGGCTTTCAGTCCTAGCTTACGCTCATTCAGAAATCTGATTTAGTCAATTATAAGCGATTCAAGATATTTTTCGCGGAAAGTTGTGATTGAAAAAATGCCAAGAGGATTATCAGAGGTTTTACGAGCTAGAATAGTAACTTTGAGGGAAGAAGGATACACCACGAGAGTTATAGCACGCAGACTTGCTATATCCCAATCCTGTGTCGTGGCTACGTTGCAGAGGTATCACGGAATGGGGAATTTAGCTGACCGACCCCGCAGCGGTCGGCCAACTGTTTTGACAGCTGCCCAAAAGCGCTATACTAGATTGCTGGCAGCCCGTGATCCAACAGTCAACGCCATTAAAATAAAAGCAGAAGTCAGGGCCGCCTCTGGGCTTGAAGTTAGCACGCAGACCGTTCGCAATTGCTTGCACCAGGCTGGATTACGAGCACGGAGGTCTTGGCGAGCTCCGCTCAATTCCCGGCAACGTCAACAACGAAGATTGCAGTGGGCTAGACTTCGGCAAAATGAAGAAGGTGAGGACGAAAACATTTGGCAAAACTGTCTCTTCGTTGACGAATCCCGAATCAGCACTCATCCAGATAACCGACGTGTCCGTGTCTGGAGAAGACCAGGCGACCGTGAAAGACAAAGAACTGCCACTGGAACAGTTCAGCAAGGCGGAAAATCGGTGTCCTTTTGGGGTGGCATTATGATTGGAGCTAGAACGCCTTTGATCCCGTATCGGGGCTTCATGACAGCAGACATGTACAAAGCAGTTGCTATTGATGATATCGTCAGACCATTCCGAGTAAACCATGGGCACCAATTTGTACTGGTCGATGATAATGCGCCCGCACATCGAGCTCAACGAGTCAATGCTGCTCTTCAAGAATACGATATCACACGATTAGACTGGCCTGCCGGCTCGCCCGACTTAAACTCAATAGAGCACGTGTGGGATGCTCTTAAACGAGCAGTATGGAACCGTGAGCAACGTCCCCAGACAGTTCCAGAGCTCAGGGAAGCCGTTATTGAAGAATGGGATAGGTTACCCCAGGAAATGCTGGATAACTTGATCCTCAGCATGCCCAGGAGGATCTTCGCATGTATTCGGGCCAGGGGAGGAGTTATTTTATATTGAATTCACACCTTTTAATAATAAATTGTTGTTTAAGTTTAATTAAACAGTCTTTTTCTTTCTATGAAATTTCTATCACTATTACATTATGATTAATGGCTCAATTTTTTAAAATAAATAATAAAAAATAGTTTTATATTTTAATTTCAAACAGGGTATTCCTATTTAAAGAAAGCATACAACATAGATTTTTTCTTGATAAAGTTAAATTTAAAGAATTATAGGAGCTTATGCTATTGATCGCAAACTTTTTTTGATGTGTGTATGTATCTCATCTAAAATCAACCATATTATTGCAAAACGGAATTTTGTTTAGCATAAATAAGTAAGTAAATAAGTGGAAGTTGTGCAACATCTAGACAAAATGGCAAACACTGAAGAAATAAAAACATGATTTTAAGTTACTTTTGTGTAAGTGAATTTGTTTTGCTACATGGTGAATATCACTTAGTATGAGCATAATAAGTAAATAACGACAAATTGTTTATATATTCCTTAAGTTTTTAAGTGTAAATTCATTGGTACCAAGTTAAATTTATGTACATACCTCAAATAAATGGAACCTTGGGTTGGATTGGGTATTTTTACCATGAACATGCCACATTATTTCACACAATATTTATAGAGGACTGGACAGTATTATGATTTATAATAGTATTATTAAGAATTTCATGTAATTGAAATACGAATTATGTATTCTGTAATTCATACTTCAAATACATACATGGTGTTTCTGGTCAGTGATGGTAATGGTATTTTGTAATTTGTATAATAAAATAAATAATATGCTGTCATAATAATACCCTACTGTATGTTTTCAATACACCTCATGAAAGTAATTTGTATTTTGTAGCTTAAATATATACAACAAAGAATTTTGTAGTTTACATTGTAGCACATATTATGACAAGGTATAAAGACGAATCTTGCTGTACCAAACTTACTAAATCAATGTATTTACCACATATATTATTCAACTTAAATATTCAGAGTACTTATAATATGAAGTGGAATAAACTTTTGTATAGATGTAAGGTCAACATGTAAACAGGAAGCCTTACAAAATATTAACAACATAGAAATCTTAGTTTTAGAAAATGAGTTCAGCTGTTTACTGTAGAGTTGGCTAAGCTACTTAACTGTTGGTAGTTCCAGTATAACTATGAGTGTAGTTCAGTAACCCACGTAACAAAACGCGCATAAAAATGCAGACAAACATCTACTGACTAATTTTAAACACTTTCATTCACAAAACAAGTTTAGGATGAGTCATGTCACTTATGTAAATCAACTCGTAAGACAGACTCTTAACGCAATCTAGAGGACTGGGAACGGTGAGAAATCTCTACTTGCTCCAGCCGGCTCTAAAATACGTTGCTAAGACGAAATAAGAGCCAAACAATAATGGGAAACACAGTGGGAGGCTCGGTTACACGCACTGGATTTATGTACTAAAATTGAATAGGTTAAGTACTTACACTTCGAGGATCCTGTCCCCCTTTCTGATGCCGGCTTGCTCAGCCGCCCCCTGGTCCAAAACAGCGCTGACGTGCTGCAGAGGAGCGTAAAGTTCCCCATTGATCGATCTTAACTGCCCACCCTCCGACACTTGACCGCGCACATTGAAACCGAAACCAGTCTCGGTTTTGTAGATTGTAACACGACGGGGACCATTTGCAGTCACAGAATTCTTGTTGTTTCTCTCGGGTCGAATAATAGTGTTTTTATCCGTTTCTGTCTCAGCCATTTTGGACAAATGGTTGTATGTGCCATAGACAAAAATTAGTAGCTATTATTGTGATGTTTCTATCCAAGTGTTGCTATTTTAAATATACAAAATTAATTTCAAACAACGTGTATGGGGATTTTTGAGATGGAGTAAGCGCCACCTTGTGGTGGGTAGCTGACATTTTTTTAAGCCTTTGCTAGTTTACATAAAGCACCAATAGGTGACGTTATCTGTTACGTAAAAAATTATTCAAGACTATACAATAAATTCTTCTTTTTTAATCTAATATCCCAATAACCAAAGAAATAAACTATGGATGATGAAATCAATAATTTGCACACATTCCAGTCGTTTCAAACTATTCCAAGTAAAGTGCCATCTATTACACAGAACGTACAATAGCTTAATTGTGCAGGTAAAACGTGGGTAAAACAGTACTGGCTTATAAGAATCAAAACTAGATGGCAGGGATAGCGAAACAACGTGGTGCATGAAAATTTCAACTTCTTTCACATCAAAATCAGCTGTGAACATCAGTATGGCCGCTCTAAATATCTGTATAATAAAATTTGTTTTGTAAAATCATACAAAAAAATAGGAAAGTGCAGTTTTCGTACTTACACCGTGTAATTGTTGATTTGCGGATAGTGTCGGTGTTGTTGACTAAAAAGTGTTGCGTCATGACAGAATCGCCTTCTCTCTACTGACAAACAAATACAATAAAAATTGCAATTGGCGAATTATAAAGTTATCGTAGCATTTCTACTTCGCTCGTTTACCGTAGGTGTCGGTCGCCGCGGGCTGATGATAATCGTGGAGAGTAATCGAGCAGTATATAATGAGTAGTGTTCGATTGAGCTTTATTTCTGTAGGGAGGATCGCAGTGAGGAGAAATTCCCAGTTGACATCAGGTGAGAGGCTTCCTTTCATTTATTTGTTTTCTTGTTGTATTGGCCGCGGTCCAGAGGTTGGTGTCGCAGTTAAGACGCTCGTGTAAAATACGCAATCAAATAACAATGTTTTGATACGGCATTTTGATAAGAGCAAAACTTATTGCTGTAATACACATGTGTGCTTACGTTATGGCAGCATTGATAGACGTGTTATCAACGTGATGCATAAATAATACATTGGTGAATTGCACTAATTGGGCCGCTGGCCAGGACATTTAGGTTCATTATAGTGTTTTCAACTTGTAGTTTTCCTTCTCTCACTGTGCCTTCCCTCAAGGCGACGAACGTCGATTTGAACAAGGTCACGGACTTGAATTGTATAATACCAACTTGTATTTACAGGTAGGTCCCTTTTGATCGCAACAATTATTTGAATTTATGAAGATGTTAACCCTGTGGCCCAGTCACTTAGTTTCACAAAAAATAGAATTTAGAAACACTGCATAAAAATATAGCAATGAAATTCTTTTTAAATAATGTTGCCTTCAGTATGATATATATGAGATAATTGCTGTTTAAAATTCACATAGCAAAATAAAATTAAATTAAAACAGAACATTTTTATTATTTTAATTGGATCACTGCTATTTTTGCTTCTTATTTCTTTAGTGCCCCACATATTTGTTTTAACTTATATCATTAATGCATATAATAGACTCCTTTCTTAATTATTTAGTACCTATTTCACAGCTAAGTTTTAACTACAAATATTTTTTAATAGATTGACTTATCAAAAATAAGAAGTAAAAATAAAAATAACAATTTTCAAAAAATGGTGAAATACAAAGTTCTCATGAAATCCAGGTTAATATAAATTAACTTATAATTACAAAAAAAAAATCAATAAATTTAACTACGAAGCTCCACTAGAGTACGTCATAAAATACCAACATTTTTGATAAGAAAACTTGCGATAATAAATTTGTAAGTAAGCGCAGATAACAATATTATATAGCATACTACTTATGGAGAGTTAATTTTAAGTATTTTTACTTGTTTCAAATTCAACATAATATAAATATGTATGTATGTATACAATTATCAAAGTTTTGATGAAGACTAGACTCATTTATTATTAGTGAATTCTTTGATAAGAAAAAAATAATAAATACAAAACTACTAGATAGAGATGGGAAATACTGCTTATTTTTTTAATCGTTTAAACATTATGCTTTTTTAAAAAGAGAGTGCTTTTTTAAACACTTTTTAGTTTGAAGCTAACAAAATCGTTTAGAAAATGTTTAAGCACATAGACTTTTGTGTTAAAAAAAGCTTGCAACATTGTGTTGATAGCGAAACGCAAGAGTAAACCACTAAAGGTATTAAGATAAGTAATCTTTTTTGTAAAAAACACGTTATATTTTTATAATGGCATAACATTATTATATTAACATTTTGTTCATTGGCATTTAAAAGCGTTCAAAAACATAAGTTGTTTAACTTTTGTAGCTGTTAACCATTGATATGGAAAAAACTGCATATTTTTTTAACGTTAAAATGTACGTTAAGAAAAGCGTGCTTGTAAAAGCGCTTTTCACTTAAACGCTTTTTAGTTTGACGCTTAAAAAGTAGTTTAGAAAAACATTTAAGCGCATAGACTTTATATTTAAAAAAGCTTGCAACGTTATGTTGAATTAATTTGTTTAGGAAACATAGATGGCGCTACTTGAAACTTAGGCACGGTTTAAAAATTGAAATTGTTGAGTACCTATAGAACTGAACAGTGACCAACGCTTACACTTAAAATGGAAAGCGTGCTTATGCGCTTATTTTAAAAAGACTGTTAAGTGCCTTTCATTTAAACGCCCATCTCCAACCACTTACAAAATAATATGAAAAACGGTACATTCAGCATTGCAATAGTTGTACCTGGATAAAAAGGCATAAACAATATGATGATGCCAGTGGCTGCGAAGGTTTGATTTGATTTCCAGTAGGATCAAATTTTCTGATTTTGTTCTGGTCTGGGTTCTGTATAGTGCTCTGAATTCCATTGGTTTGTTACCTCTTAGGCCAGGGAAATTCCCTTCCTAGTTTGAGACCAGGTTCTTGGGTGTACTTGTCTGGCACATTATTGTCATTGTTAATATGCCACTGTCCACCGCCCTGCACTGCTCTCTCGTAAGCTGTATAGAACTTCCCAAAACAGCTCTTTGTATACTGGTGGCTTCCTGTATTCTAATAATCGAAGGTCTATAACCTTTAACTCAAAATGACTGCTAATCTCCATAGTACAGATCCCGTCAAAATCCCGTCTTACATTTAGATGGCGCTGATCGATAGCCTGGAAGTATTTAATGTTATGTAAATGGCCGTGGTTGTGAATTAATTCATCTTTAATATGAAATACTAGTCAGTTTTTTCCTTGTTATTCAAATATTGACCATGAGCTAAAATTATTTTCTGAACTTTGACAAATATGCATACCAATAGATGGCATTGTGTGTTACAAAATAATTTATAAATACCACTTGCTAATATGGGTAGATGGCACTATCGTGCTAACCCTTAACAAAATAAAAGAATACCCGGCACTATCCAAAAAAAATCAGTGCAATAAGTGCCATCAAATCAACTAGATTGATTTGTTTGTTATCATTAAGCTGAGTTAGAGATATTTTTACATTACAATTTTATTTCGCATTTTAAATTTTTACATTATATCTCTTAACTTAGCATGATCCTCCAGATCTCCATAGCCTCCTCCAGATCTTTCCAGTGTTGTCTATCAAGAGCTACTCTTCTCCAATACGGTCCTGCAGTTAGCTTCAGCTCATCCTCTCACACATGTACCAATTGGTGACTACTTTGCTCCATTTTTCCGGCCCACGCTGCAGACGCCCAGTCCATTTCCATTTTGCCTGATCTATCTTTGAAAGCACATCGATTACCCTGGTTTGTATCCTAATACTGTCACTCCTGATTTTTTGAAATCAGAGTTAGTTTTGATAAATTGCAAAAAAAAATATACAAAAGTAGCTATTTGGTATTCGTCCCGACATCTAGTGTACGAATAGGTACTAAATACCTGACGACGCCGTCTTGTATCGCGATAAGCATTTATTGGTCCACACTAAGGTCAACGATTTTTCAGTCTGCAGTTTTCTTCAATTTACCTTTTCAATAAATTAAATTACAAGAACAATGGATATTATTCAATGCTTTAAACAATTAATTATAAGAATGAAAGAAGAAAACACTTGTTGCTTGAAACACTTGAATTGTAATATGCTATAATGTATTATTTGATTAATTGATATTTAAGACAAAGTTATTAAAGACAAAATGTTAATTGTCATTTAATTATGGACATAATTCAATAAGCATAAGTAAAAAGATTTCCAATAGAGGACTTTATTACAATTAGAAAATTAGAACAACTACACCACTATAGTTTCTATTTTAAAAAAATCCTTCAATGAAACTCATCACTGAGAACACATTGATTAATACGAAAAACAAAGAGGAGCTAATATAATTATTAACAATAACTCTACACCACTGATGACACATACATGTCTTAAAAATTTGAATAATATTGTATCCTTTTTTAAATTCTATATCAAACTATTTGTTAACTTTTGTCAAAGTTGTAAGTTGCTTCCGTTCCCAATAAAGGGGACAATATGGTAATGCTGATCTCTTGTAAAGCATTTTCAAGCTATTATTATTAGGGTGGCTTCACTCGGGCCCTAAGCGGTCACTCATAACTGCGACCATTGACTGATCTATTGTGATCACCACTAATTACAGTTTGGAGCCAAGACCAACAGCATAAAAGAACTGAAGGACTTTCCTGGCTCCGACAGTTTTTATGTACTCTGGGTGTGGCCTATGCCTACCCAATATGGAACTTGGATGGACGAGATGCACAAGAGTTTCATCCGTGACAGAATCTACACTCTCTATTCTCTCTCTGCCCAATATTTGACATGTGCTTGTTCAAACCACAGTGTCCACTTAAGACTCTAGTGAGCATGCTGATGCCATTCCTATCCAAGGACAGAGCTTCTGTACAGTGTTTTTGAACGCTCAGGACCGTAACTCTGTAGCCACACTTCTCGGGAGAAGTGTGTGCTCTCAGAGTGAACTTTGCCAGGCTGTATGCTATCCGTATAAAGGGTTCAGGTCCAATAAAGGTTTCCCTGGCACCAACCTTACCAAAAAAAAAAAACTTATCAATTAAAGTCATAGTTACATGCCTCCACTTGGATTCAAACCAAGGGCCTCTCAATTGCGAAGTAACTTTTCTCGCATTAAACTACTACCGTGAAATCTGTGAAAGTAGCTATAACCCTCGCCAGCAGTGACGAAAAATATTGTTATGAAACCTGCATGTTGCAAAGGGTACACAACCTTTAGTAAACATATGAAAAGTTCCTCACCCAGGCCAGGGTGGTTTTTGTTACGTATGGTAATTACGTATGGTCTCCTTACAGGAGATCAATGCTCAGCGGTGGGATGTATAATGAGTAGACGATCAGTATCATCGCGTTTAAATTCTGAATTAATTATTATTACGAATGCAATGATGAATTGTAAAATGTTTTGACTCCTTTTAAACAGTGCTATTCAGTGATAATAGTGAGCAATCAAGTACATTATTTATTTAATAAGTCTTTGCGCTTTTATTGCAAAACTATATAGTTTGTAATAAATACGATAACATACTATACTATAAGAGATTATTTCGTATGACATTATGATAAAACGCACTGAGGGTTATTTATGTCATAATTATTTCTATGACGTTTGTTGATAATTGTGCACTGTATGTTTTCACTTATGCATAAAGCACATTCAACTGCCATTTGACATTCTGAGATGTCATGTAACTAGCAACTTAAAACTAAAATTATTATTCATTGCTTATGTTGCTTACATGACATTTTTTAAGCCAAATTCCATCACCAATGATTTAAGTACCCTGTTATTTATTCAAAAAAGACAAAGATTTT